AGATGGGGTAAAAGCAGAGGATTATACCACAAGATGAAAGCAGAGGATCACTGTGGCTCCCATCTTCCCACTGATACCACTCTCCGAAAGCGGAGGAAAGCAGAGGATCTAATCCTGCGTCCAAAGCAGAGGATGAACACAGGAGCGGTACCACCGTGAGCTCGCACAAATAAAATGCAAATACATAACCTTATAATTATGGACACTTTTATCTGCTAGTTTCTGAATCCGTGCATCAGGATGATCTTTCGAGATGTCGGTAATTACTTCAATCCAATCTCTGTGCGTTCTTTGTTTATCTGTGACAGCGATATTTAAAAAACATAAGTATTCGAGGAGGCGATTTGACACGTTGGGTTTCTCTAAAATCTTTACAACTGTGTTCCATTCTTCAGAAGCTTCCGAGCTTGCTTCGCGTTTTGACATTTTTTTTTTTATAAATTACACAAAAACATTTGGACCAATTTATCCGGTGACACAGAAAAAATGCATAAACGTCACACAGTTTATTAAGGTCATCGAGCCATGCATGCCCCATTTATTATTTTTCTTTCTTCTTGATAAAAATTTCATAAGTAATCCTTTCTTTTCTTAGATAAGTTTCCAGTGTCTGAGTATCATTTATTTTGAAAATATAAGGAGCAATTTTTCACCTTGTTCCTTTTTTAAAATACTTCTAATGGTGCTGTAATTTTGGGTTCCATAGTAAATAGATCTGATGTAAATGAGTTTCATATTAAGGATACCGGCTGCAACTTTTGATGATGGTTGCTACCATCTTTGCGTCATATAAAAATGATTGCAACCGCTGGTTGCAACCACCTTTACGACCATTTTGTTTCCTTTTTTGGATTGCGACACGGAACACTATTTCATATTAACTATTTTTATATAGGGATAGTTCTATATATCACTTAACAAGTGAGACATTATAAAACTAATTGTGATGATAATAACTAAATTTTGATCCCTGAAATTCTTGGCAAAACCAATGTTCACTTTGTCTGGTTTGTCCCACATAATATTTTTTGTAAAAGATCTTCAAGCCAATAAATAAAATTTGATTTTTTTAGAGAGTGATCATCATAAAATTTAGCCAATGAAATCAAAGTCACAACGTGATAACGAATCTGATAATAATAAATCGAACTTCCTTCCATCATGCTACTATATACTGTATTACTAATATTTAAACAATGATAAATAATTTGCCAAACGAATTACTTTACACAATTTTGCAAAATGTTCAAAATACTTATGCATTATATAAGTAAATAAATATTAAATCATTTAAATAATAAAATATTTATTAATGTACAATTAATTATTTTAATTTTTAAATTTAGTCGTCACCGATATTTATGGACGCTTTGTAGAACTTGTAAATTATGGAATGAAATAATTCCTTTAGTTATTAGTGGGTGTGCTTTTAAAAGATTTAATTATTTCAAAGATTTGGAATTCGAGGTAACTTCCATCTCTCATTGATTGGTTTTCTTCTAGGCATATATATACATATATATATATATATTAATAACATGTGTGATATAATAGGCAAGAATTGATTTTGGAACTTATGACAAAAAAAAATATTTTAAAACAACATTGATAAAATTTTCAAGAATATGTAAATTTAATTTTTTTCCATCAACTGAATCAAATGGATCATTTTTATCACCTACATCAGAAGAAGAAGGATCAGAAAGATCAGATTCAGAAGGATTGATAATAATAAATAATTGTAGGATTAATTTGGGGATAGCTGTTAAATATAAAGATAATCCACCAAGTGGTTGGAAACATAAATATTATATACCAACTATTTTATTACCTGGCGAGAATCCAAACAACATCAAAGAGATTAAATGTCATTCGAATATAATTATAGGCTATAGATTCAATATCAACAAAGAGAGAAATAATGATGAGAAGGGGAAACAAGATTTTAAAAATAATTCAACTAATGATTATACCAATAATCCACAAGACATTGAATTATTGTATATCAATATGTCAAGAGATGCATTATTAAGGTATATGGATAATATGGATAACCTTCATTACTTGATTTCTGCCACTGGAATTAATTAGATTAGAATTTACAAAAATTCGTTGTGATCGACAAAAGGTTCTTCTGCCAAGCCACCATCAAAGCCTCGAAGGATAAAAGATAATTAATCTAATTTAAGAAAGAAGCCACTGTTCGTCAATTTTTATTACAATTAAAAAATATTTTACAAAAAGAATCGAAATATAAAAGATGTATTTGCATAATTAATCTAAGAAAGAAGCTACTGTTCGTTAATCATTGATATCATTATCTTTTTTTAATAATAAACAATTTCTTACATAGCCACACAATAGATTTTTTTTAAAAAAAAATATTCTTTTTTTTTTAAGTTTGCTTCAAATCAGTCACGTTTATTTAATCCAATTCCTTTATTTTTTAATATATGAATGAATGGAAATATTTACTAGTAAAACATGCCCTCACTTAATCAAAACTTTAGATCCTTTAAGATATTCATTTGTTGATTCTCAAGGAAATGCTCATTTACCATGTGAGGATTCTTTTCGAGAAACAAATAAATAAATCGATCGACTAATTGATTGAATTTATCCTTTAAGTGTATACAATAGGATGGATTGTTTCGTCGACATTTACACTTTTAGCGTGTGTTTTTACGTTTACGTTATTATTTCAACACGCAAGAAATTATGCAAAGGCATGTATTTATTATATTTATATATAAAACGTAATTACTTTATATATATATACACCTTCTAAATTATAAAAATATATCAATCATGTGTAATATAGCCAGAACAACAAAGATTGGTGATAAGATTATTATTTATGGTTCCGGTTTATACAATATCAGATTTATTAGCATATTTCTTTATTCATAAATCAGTTTATTTTGCCTTTTTCCGTGATACATATCAAGCATGGTGTATTGCTTCATTTTTTAATTTATTATTAGAATATTTGGGTGATGATGGAGATTATAGAATTACCCAAATAGGAACAACAAAAATGCCTCCACCACTTTGTTGTATTAGATTCAATCCCTCTAAACATAAATCATTCTTCCTACCCAGTTTAAAATTAGCCGTGTTACAATACGCATTGATATTATATTTAACAACTTTTATCTCGGTGGTGTTGCAATTAATTGGGGTTTATTGTAAAGAAAATTATTCTATTTATTTTCCTCAACTTCATTTAGTAATTATACAAACAATATCTTCTCTAATCGCAAATCTAAGTTTGGTAAGGAATTCGAGTATTTTGGATTGTGTGATTATTATTATCAATCAATCAATCAATTAATTAATTAATTAATTAATTACAGTTGATGTTATTTGAAGCTATTCGTAAAGAATTAATAGGATATCAATTAGGATTAAAAGATTTGTGCATAAATTGGGTAATTTAATTACTAGAAGATGATAATTATTTTGTTAACAACAATTAAAACGATTAATGATTTTTTTTAAATTCTTCAGGCACTTTTCATTGTTACATATCAAGGTACGATGATCTTCAAAAAAAAAATACCCCCCTGTTGCAATTTAATGTTAAAGTGATTATAGTAAATGAACCATACATTGATAAAGCCTTCGATAATAAATAGGTCATATTCTTGCTCTAGCAGTTAATCTACGTAAGTGTTTGTTGTTGTCACATAACTTTATATCGTATCTATTTTCGTTATCTAATTTTTATGATTTTTTAGACTTTTTTGCGAACACGGAATATTTGTAAGTGAAAAAAAAGTAATATATATATATATGATTTGTAAAAAAGAACGTTTATACACACATTCAACTTTTTAAAAAATTAACAGAACCGCAGACGATATATCAACGGCAATTCAATCAGTTTTAGTATCGATTGAATTTTTCTTTTTATCTCTATTACACATGAAAGCATTCAGTGTAAAGGAATATCGAGAATCAGGAGAAAGGATGTCAACTCCCGTTTTTTCATCTTTAAGAGATGCTTTAAATATACGGGATGCTGTGTTTGATTTTATTCATCTTTTAAAATTCATATTTCTCTATGCTGTCCTAAGAAGACCTGAACCCGAAAAAAGAGAAGATCCACAAAGAACTGCTGTCTCATTAAAGCCTTTGGCTGATATTATATCGAAAGAAGTTAGTAGTGATATTGGTAGCAGAGGCAGAAGCGAAAAAGATTATCTCAAAAAAGCTTCAAGCTTAAGTAGATCTACAACTAATACAAAAAAATTGAGAGGAAGTCTCAGATCTAACAGATCCAAGCATTTACGACCTTCACCATTGGCATCAGATACTGATGATAATAAAAAAGAAAGTAGTGATGGTGGTGATGGTGGTGGTGAAAGTAGTAGTGCTAAAGTCAATGTTGAGGAAAAGGGAAAAGATGATAGTGACGATGATGATGATGAAAGTGAGAAACACGAGAATAGCGGTGGTGACATTTAAATAAAATAGTTTTCGTATTAATAATATATATTTTTTATATTATTGTAAAATAATTGGTACAATTAATACCATCCATCTTGTTATTATGCATAATAATGTAATAAATAAATATGCATTATGTTGAAATTATAGTGTAACATGTATGATAGCATGGTTTGCTTGATTGGGAAATTCGATAAATATACGTTAACTATATTTACCATATTAATTAATATCCCCCCTAATCCTTTAAATTTTTATTAAAAATAATTTAATTTCCACTCTTTTTTTTATTTTATTTTATGATGGAAGATGAAATTACAGTTGAAACTATTAACAAAATCAATCCAGTGTCATCAACTAGCATTGAAGATTCTATAAAAAAAATAATAAGAATAATCAAAGAAGATGATATGGTATCATATGTCTCGATCTTTTTTTTGATATCTTTTTTTAAATTATAGTTGTTATAATTACGATTACGAATTATAATTTATTTAGCCAGCTGAAAAACTAAATGTTAAAAAGAAAAATTCAACATATTCATCAGAAAATCGTGTATATGAAGTATTGTACGAGAATCAAAGAGGGTGGGTAATTAATTTCAAAAAAACAGGAATAATAAATAACAATTTATCTTAAATATATAATTAATTTATTACGGCTATTATTTTATTATAGATTATTTTTTTTCGGATTACCAAAATTTAATTCGAAAGCATTAAATCAAATGGATCCACATCCATGGACAGATAAACATAACAAGTAATAAATAATACTAATTTATATGATAGTAATATTAATATTATAAGGAAGCAAATAAATAAATTAATATATCTTTATTTTTATTTTATTATTTATATTAAAGATATTCACCAATGGATATTTATACATTTCAATTGCCGGATCCAACTTGGGAATGGGTGGGTTGTAAGTGATGTGTTGGAGAGAAATTGATTTAAAGGATATTGTTGACAAAGTTTATTTAAATTTATTTTTTCAAATTTTAGGTTAATAAAGAATGGTTGATTGATATGTCTGGTGATGTTGACCAAGGTAATTGTTGATTGATTGATAATAATTTTTGTGCATGTTTGGAATTTTAATCTTAAATCCGATTTCCTTACAATGTATTATTTTTATATTATAGAAGGATGGGAGTATTCCATAGCATTTAATTTTAATCGTTGGCATGGTAAAATTTTATATTTTATTTAATTTAATAATAATAATTTTAAATAATAAATTGATAAATAATAAATTATAGGATGTTATAAATCTTTACGATCCTTTGTTCGTAGAAGAAGATGGATAAGATTACGCCGTAAAAAGGCAAGCATTTAACATATAAAATAGACACACATGTGCTTATTCATATCCATATTCACATATCAATAATAACAGCTATATTATAATGTATAGGTTATAACTGATAGTGATAGTGATAGTGATAGAAAGTATTTATCAAAAATCAGTACAGATAAGGATGAGTCAAAGACAAAATCCGAAATTGAAAAAATTTGGTATAAAGTAAAAGGCTCCAAATTAGACAGGGAGAAATTAAATGTGATTGACGAGTATATAAAAAATGGGGGTGAGATAAATTACTTCAGCGGGAAGGTAAAAATAAAATAAAATTTATGATAATAATAATAATAATAATAATAATAAAAAATAATTATAATAATAATGGTTATCATTATTTAGATAGAAGATTTTATCTCTCTATTTGACCATCATGGAAGTAAGAAATTATTATTAGAGGTAATTATCAATAAAAAATTTATTTATTTTATTAATTTTATTTATTCTTACTTTTTTGCCTTCCTTGAAATTCATAGATTTTATTAAAAACTGGAAATCAAAAAATTATTAAAGAATTAAGGCAAAAAAAATTCCTAAGATTTTATTCTGATCTCAAAACATTATTATTAAATTAATTTCAAGTTGTACTATAAAAATTTCTTCCTGAAGCAATTATAGAATTGCACAATAATAATATAAATGATGGACGATATTAAAATAATTTATTCAATATCAATAATATATATATATATATGTATTTACTTTTTCTTCTAATATCAACTTTTAAAACTAAATAAACCAGCATCCTAGAAATAATAATCCATAAGTTTTTGCATGATTGTTTGTATCATCATCATAAATTGATTTTACACATACAGTGCCCTGCCGAAAATGAATGGCCACCTAAAAATTCTTTGATTGTAAATACAAACTAGTACAAAACATGATTTCTTGTACAAAGTGACCACTTTTGAAAGTTTTATTAATGTCAAGTTTTCTTTGAAATTCAAAATTTCGTTGTATGTTTTCAAACCAATCCATACTTGTTATACATATGCAGTTTAACAAAAACAGATCCACTTAGTACAAGAAATCATGTTGTGTATGTAAAATTATTATTACTATTAACAGAATTTTAGATGGTCACTCATTTCTGACATGATACACAGTGGGTCTCGATTTAACGGACCTCGATTTAGCGGATTTAGAGGTTTAACGGATAAATTTTCAAAACCAAATTTTTTTATAGTTGGCTCGGTCTAAAGACCTCCTAAATTTTGGGCAAATTTAAAAGTATAGAAGTCACTTTCTGTCCTATCTTTTAAAAAAATAGCATTATTAGTTGATAGAATAGGTCTTTAGT